AAGGCAACATCTACCAGAATTGTGGGCGGTATTTGGTGGTTTTTCACACTAATAATAATATCATCATACACCGCGAATTTGGCAGCGTTTCTCACAGTCGAGCGAATGATCACACCGATCGAAAATGCTGAAGATCTGGCAGGCCAAACCGATATTCCTTATGGAACGTTGGAAAGTGGATCAACAATGACATTTTTCAGAGTGAGTGGCTGGAAAAAAATAAAAATTAATCCTACGATAATTTTTCTTTCGAGGATTCGATGATCGAAACGTATAAGAAAATGTGGAGGTATATGGAAAACCGTAAACCATCCGTGTTTGTGCCTACATACGAAGAGGGAATCAAGAAGGTTTTGCAGGGCAACTATGCCTTTCTCATGGAATCTACCATGCTGGATTATATAGTCCAAAGGGACTGTAATTTGACCCAAATTGGTATGTTACAAACCACTAGATTCGTTTTTGGTGACTGATTTCGGACAAGACAAATAGTCAAAAAGCAAACTTTACCTCAGCATATTAAGGCAAAAATGTGCTTCAGGTGGGCTTCTTGACTCCAAGGGTTATGGCATAGCAACTCCCATGGGAAGCCCGTGGAGAGATAAGATATCCTTAGCCATTTTAGAGCTTCAAGAAAAAGGAGAAATCCAAATGCTGTATGACAAATGGTAGAATTTTCATCTTCGTTCCTCAATGGAATATAAAACAGCACATTTCCAGGTGGAAAAACACTGGAGAAACGTGCACAAGAAACGACAAAGGAAAGGAATCGAAAGCGAACAGTTTAGGTGTGGACAACATTGGGGGAATCTTCGTCGTCCTGCTATGTGGTCTAGCATTCGCCGTTGTTATTGCCATCATGGAATTTTGCTACAATTCAAAAAAAACTGCAATTACAGAGAAGGCAAGTCAACTTTCCTGTTCACCAGGATGGTTCTTTGAAAACCTAATTTTCAGCGTTCTGCCAGCGCGCCACATCAGTCAATTTGCTCGGAAATGGGTGGCGAACTTTGCTTTGCCATTAGATGTAGAGGGTCCAGACAAAGGCCTGCTTTAAGACGACAATGCTCAAAATGCCTCTCAGGTAAACAGCTATATAAACTGACTCAAAGTTGCAAATGTATTCATGCAAAAGTCTTCAGGAGTTTCATATGTCCCTTCTCCTTTGGACATTCCGCCCCATCCACCTCAACCAGCCACCAGAACAGCTCCACCTTCAAATGGGCTGAGCCCGAGAATTTGTCCTTCACACATTCAGATTGTAAGTCAACCCTTAGTTATTATTAACAATTCCACGATCGGTTTCAAACTTGTCAGGAGATTTTTTGTAATTTTTTTTAACATGCTGTTATCTCTTTAGAAAGAAGACCATGTGGCTTTTCGAGCAGGTGGGCACAATGTTTCACCTTAAATAGGAGGAGACTGGTCTTCGAACTTTAAATAAGTGTGTTTTACTTTAGCTAGTAAGATTTTTTAAATAATAACTACTACGCGGCCAGGGCAATACTTCTGTTGCGGCTAATCCCTTCTTCGAGTTTCTTTACATTAAAGAAATATTGGG